TCTCACAAACCCTACTCCCACAGTTGTCTCTCATGTGTTTAGATTTTTAAAGCGGATAAATACAAAGATTTGATTTAATAACTTTTTCTAATTTGCTTTTATTCTTTGCCTACTTTGCATCTCAGGAGCTCCAGAGAGAAAGTTTTGTCGGGAACTTTTCCCTCTGGGTGAACAGTAGAGTAACTTGAAGTTGCGGTTCCCTTCGGCAAACTACTCTCTGGATTCCCTCCTCTTTATTAAATTAACTTTCTTTTCTTCTATTTCAAATTTACCGCTCGTCTATTTTATCAGTCTTACGTTCTCAGCGTTTACATACGTATATTTACTCTTAAGCAACATTCACTCACCAGGGCATGGCTAGATATACGCAGGCGCAAGCCAGTATAATGCCAACGTTAAACAAACTTAACTTAACTGCGCAACAAGTAAAGTTGTTAACATTCAGGAACAAGGTTCCTGCATGGGATCATGTGGAGGTTCAAGTACAGGAATTTTTATTTAAAAATTTGTTTTAAACTTTCAGACAAAGGAACCTTAGGTAACTAATGTTCCTGTACAGGATCCCTGTTCCAATATCCTGCATAGGATTCTTAGGAAGCTCGCACAAGAAAAGATGGAACAGTGTGCAGGATATGATTCAAATGAATTAGAAGCCAAATTTGATTTTTTATTAAAATGTTAACTTGTTAAAAGTTACAGTACATTTGAAAAAGTGGATGTTCATCAAAAATGAAAAAATTCAACCCCCTCCACATCACACAGTTTTTGAATAAACTTAAATATACTCCGTATCTGAAGTCTTAGCCAATCTGACAACAATTCCTGAAAATCTTAGCCAGATCCAAGAAACTTCATTTTTGGACCTGTGACACGTGATGAATTTTGCCTCATATGCGTACACATTTTTGTCCTTTTCTAACGCACGTGTTGCGATGACAACACGTGAGTTAGGAAAGGACAAAAATGTGTAGGCATATCTAGCCACGAGTGTATAGCAAAAGTACAATTTTGTTCGATGAATTTTTTTGTAATTAATTGGATTAACAATGAATTACAAATAATAATTAATTTATATAGTATAGAAATAATAGTTAACAATAGTAATAAAAAATTAAAACACTGCGTACGTTAAATTAAAGAAAAATTCATTTAACAAATAAAATACTGAGAACTTACATTCACGTTATAAACAATTTTTCATTGTTTATCTAATTTAATTTGACTTACAATTTGTTAAAGAAATATGATATATAATAATTTTCATATAATTAGTTGCCATATTTACCAGCAATGTTTTTTTATCCGTATCTAAATATTCATCTGTCCATTTAATTGTTTATATGTACGTCTAACGACTGTTAATTAAAGATTATGCAATGTTCGAAGGTGATTACTACAAGAAAAGGTTTTTTAAAAAGCAAATTTGATGTAGTATGCGAAGAACATTTTAAAGAAGAGTCCCCTACAGCACCAAAACTTTCCTAAAGATTTATTTGAAATGTTCGGAATATTTAATTGCAATGTTTAATGAAAATTGTGTAAAGATTTAAATGTCCCGATTAAATAAATATTTAGTGTGAAACTTTCCTGAACATTTAAATGAAATTTCCGTCTAATTATAATTTTACAACTGTTTTAGATAATAATACAATATCAAAGTACAAAAAATTTTTGTTAAAAAAATACAGTGCCATTAATTTTTCCAATGACTACGGTTGAAAGTAAACTTATCTACCACTAAAAATACAAGACTAAAAAAAATAGTAAAAAGTTAAACTTAAATTTAAAAAATTAATTTTTGTTAAATATTTAAAAAATTTATTCACATATTGTAACGATAGAGTATCGTAGTATAGTCGCCCGGCGAAATGAGAAAAGTAGTGTCACTCCCTTCCACCACCACTTGCTGTCATCTAGCTGCCAGTGATATACCTTTCGTCTCGCACTTTTTTCCTCAGTCGAGTTCCGACTTACCGCTTCTTTCTCTCACGGAGAGAAATGTGTTACGATTAGCTCACAGGACTTACGCGTGCGCTTTTCTCATGAGCTTCGTTTGCTAATATCGCACATGCTTGTGCTAATATGCACAGCTTATATGCGAGTTTTGCTCGAAAGCTATGAAAAATCAGCATGGATTTCTTGCAATTTACGCAAGGTTGTGTCTGTGCTATTTTCAAACGGACTGCTCATGCGTTATTAATAACAGATTTCTCTCCGTGTAGCCAACTGGAAGCGAAGCGACTCACTCCTGGATACCTGATGCTCATTCTCTCTGAATACCAAGCCTTCCTTCCTTCTGTCGTTTGGATGGGTCGTCTGTAGGAGCTTCAGCGACCACCAAAACCCTCTCGACTTTCTAGAAGGAGCTGTACTCCAGCCTGTATGAGCTTCTACGGCTAGGTAACCACTTCGTCTTCACGGACTTTTTGTTAGGAGCTTCTGTGACAGATCGTGATAGACACCTACCTCGAACCTAGTGCGTCACCCTTGCTACTTCTCTGTAGGAGCCACCACGGGAGGACGCAGAGACGAGTACATCATTTCACATTCACCGCCACCTGGTGAGTAGAGGAGCTTCACTGTCCTCTGGATGCGATGCTCAGGAACGTATCTTTCACTCAGGGTGCCCTTGGTTTAAGATATTTTCTCGAGGATGTTCCTTGATGTTCCTAGTACACAACAAGCAAGAGTGTCGGGTACATACCTGATCCTATAACCAATTGACTACCTCCTAGTTTTCCTTCAATCAATTACATATGAATGCGCACCCAAATTTGTTACTGGAGGGTTTTTAGGTCGCTGATTACCAGTCATCATTAAAGGCAAGAGTACAAAATGCTTCGGACAGAAAAAATCAAGAGTATTAAATGATCCGGACAGTATAGGCAAGAGTAGAAAAGGAACAGGCCAGTAAAGGCAAGAATAGGAAATACCCCGGCCTATAAAGGCAAGAGTAGAAAATAATCCGGCTAGTGAAGGCAAAAGTACAAAGGAATCTGTTAGTAAAGCCAAGAGTAGGAAATGATCCGGCCAGTAAAGGCAAGAGTAGAAAATGAACAGGCCAGTAAAAGCAAGAGTAAGAAATGATCCGTCCAGTGGAGGAAAGAGTAGAATGTGATCAGGTCGGTGATTGTTCTGTCGTTTTTTAAGAAACTTGATTTGTTTAAAACTTTGTACTCAGTAAATTTTATCGAAACTCGTGCTAAGCCATTTGATTCTTAGCACTGCCAGAGCCGTCTAGAGTGTTTTCGGGAGTTGCTGTGAGTATACTGTCAGTATGTTGTGATTGGCTGATCCATCAGCATGTTTATTCTGATTGGGTAATTTTTTACTGTCAGTATACTGTTAGCAACTCCCGAAAACACCCTAAATGCAGTCGTTTACTCAGTACAAAGTTGTTAACAAAACAAGTTTCTAAAAAACAACAGAACAAGCACACCTGTTTTGACGAAAAACATGAAACAATGTAACCTGTTTTACGTGCACTTCTAATTGCAATGTTTTAACCAATGACATTTAATGTGACATGTTAAAATGTTGAAATTAAATGTTTAATGTTAATTTTAATTTAAATTTAATGTTTTAATCAATGAAACTAAACTATACTTTTATAAACAGGTTGAGAACCTTTTCGTGCTAACTGAGCGCTCATAGCCAGAATCTGGAAAACGTCTGCTGCCTGTGTAAGTGCTCCTTTAAGGGCAGGTCAAAGTCGATGCGATTTTCCCATTGAAGCTCTATGTAAAAATTGATTTGACTTTGACCTGCCCTTAAAGGGTTAACCGACCCTATTGTGGTGCTATGACCATTTTATATGTTTCTATATTTATAATTATATTTATAATTTTATATTTTTTACCAAGTAATTTAAAATTTAAATTGCTTTAATAAATGAATTTTAAATAATGTTTTGTAAAAAAGGGCAATATATTAGTTTTGGAATGAATAATTTTTCTTTTTAAAGTTTTAAATATTATTTTTAATATTTTTTGACTTAACATGTTTTTTCTGTAAATTACAATAATTTAACAAATTTTTTATATTAGTTTTAGGTGTTATTATTTAGTATTTATAAAAATGAAGATAAGATATTTTATATTCTAATAATTTATGTAGAAGAAAACATTTATTAAATATTCATTTCACAACAAATTAATTATATAACGTAAATTTATTTATAACATCAAAGAAAATGCTGCCTTGATATCTGCAGCTTAACTTGGTGACTGACGAACATATCTGAAAAATGTCAAAAAAATCTTGTAATTTATTATTGTTATAAAAGGCTACACTGCATAAAAATATATTACAGAATAAAATGTTATGATTAGATTAAAAAATTTATTGTAGCAGATTGTAATAGCGTAATTTTCGAAGTAGATTAAAAAATAGACCCTCTTTAAAAAACACATTTTTATATAATAGAAATTTTCAAAAAGTTAGAAATTATTTTTCTATACATTGAACTGATACGTTTAAAATAATATATTTACAACACGAAGTATTTTCGTAACATTAGCATGGATGGATCCATGAAATCCTGAAAAGACTTTTCTTAACAGTAATTTTGTAACAAATATGAAAAATAAGTGCTGGTTACCTTAACGGATCAGGGTTCGATTAAATTCAATTTAACATTTATATATACAGAAATTTATTTTTGACAAAATAAAATTAATACGACACAAATATATTATCCGTTAGATTTTTAAAACTAATTTTCACCATACATTATTTTAGTTAGAAACATATGTTATATTTTTAAAGCTTAAGTCAATTTTTTGTTTAAAAAGAGAACCCTTTTTCTCGATACTAAAATCATTATTATTAAAATGAATTTTGAATAATTGAAATAAAATGTTTGAATGTAATTTTCTTCTTATTAGTAGAAGGTTTAGAATCATTAGAAAAATTTCGAACTATTCTAGTAACATCCGCTAAAATTGGAAAATTATCTAAAATTTGGTGTGAAAAAGCCAAAATAAATTAACGCTGTTAAATCCAGATAAAAAATTGTTTATTTACATAAAATTTTTAAATAGGAAAATCTATTTTTTTAAAAATGTAATCGTACATTAACATATAGTAATTTGCATTTTATCAGTTTACATCAAAATTATTAATCTCGAAGTATTCAACATAAGTAAAGCTTTCGATAAAAAGCCATCAAAACATGTTAATGTTAATGAAATGTTTTTACGAAGGCCACAAAAAGATATTTTTTTTTTTGAAAGATAATTAGTACTGTATAACGCAAAATTATAGAGTTAATAATATGTCTATCGTCGATCTTCGAATTTCTCAATGCTTTTCGATATTAGAAAAGAGAATCGTGAAGTGATTTGATGATACATTGATGCATATCAAAACAATTTACTTACTCAAGGCCCAAGGCCCAATTGATACCACGTACTAGGAACAAAATTAATGGCTGCCACGCAACTAACCACCTGATCCAATCTAATAATTGTCCATAAAGAACATGCGGTCGTTCCCATCTTTATAGTTATTGTAAGGAAAATAGAATAAAATGCCTATAAAAGATAAATTAATGCTAGTAAATTTTTTAGTTAATGTTGTGAAATTTATGTAATGAACCCTTCTATATTCATTAATTAACAAAAAGTTCATTGAACTTAGATAAAGTTTACTTTAAATTTTTCTCTAAATCATTGCAACACAACCAACTCTGTTGCAATGTTTTAGGAATGGGCCCTTGCTCAGGAAATTCGCTGAATGCGAATGAATACTACTATTTCAACATTCAAGCAAAGGAGTAAATACTAACATTGACATTATATAAAAATCGCAAAAAGTACTATATATACATAGCTATGTATACACGGAAAGAATTTCGAGTCGTCTGCTATGTCGCTTACCGCCCATGAGTTGTACTTCTTCTTCTTCTTCTTCTTCTTAATGACTTGAGGCACAGCCAACTGTCAAAACAATAAACTTAGAAGACGAAAAAGTTCTAGAATACACTATATGCTACACTGTTGGTAATACAGGTTAGACAACAGCAAAGTAAATCCAGCTTATTGGAAATTAAGATTGAATCAAATATATTGTTCGCTTGGAAACGGACAAGTCGAGTACAAGGAAAATGACTTTGCCATACGTTGAATCTATTCATGAATCATAATAAACTCCCATGAGAAGAATACATGTGAGAATTGAATTCAAAGCGTATAGGCCATACATTGATATATATAATTGATCTCAATAGCAATTTCTAAGTTTCAATCGGAAAAAATAACACAATGGTTGCTTAAAGTAAGACTACCGCAGTCAGGCTCCCTCTGGGCAAAGCAATGAGAGACAAACTCAAGTTGAGAGAGAAACATCAATTGTACTTGTAGCGCGGGAAAATGTCAACACCGGGTTTCAAACACTTTAAATATACTTAAACCTTGAACAAGGGGTATACAGTTAAGATATTAAACTGTCGAAGACCACAACACTACAAGGTGACACCAAAAATATACAAAAGATGTTTACATAGATCTACAAAGCATTGTAAACCGCAGAGGTCACAGCACAATAACAGTGAGTCGTCTCAAACTCAGATAAAACCAGAAAAATTTATGAAAGAACACGCGGAACAGAATGAAGTAATAAAATAGATTCTCAGGATGACACAAAAATTTTAGATATTTCACAAAAGGTTACGATGAGCGAGGGTAGAAGTCACACTCGCTTATAGAACAAAACTCAGAACTGATCAGGATTAGAACAAACTTCGAAGAACACATCAGAGAGCACGTGGTAGAACGAACGTTTTAATAAAAAGGTTATATAGTTGCTTTCAGAAGCAGAACAAATCATTAGTATTTACTACACAGAACTTGACTAAGATGAACTAAAACTTGTTTGAAAAAATAATAGGTAGAACAAAATCGATTAAAAATGCATGGAGTGCCGGAACATATTCCGTCCGGTCACTACCGCTGCCAAGTTAGAACTCCCATGAGTTGTACTTCTAGTCCCAGTCACCTGATATACAGGAATCGCGCGAACAGATGTATGAAAGTGGGGGATATCACTTGTCTCGAAAAAATGCACGTCTCATGTGCATAAGTCAAGACAAGAGAAGTTTCGTTCGCATGAGGATCGTGCGTTTGCGTCACCGAGTAGAAAGACACCACGTGAGCATAGGCCCGAACTAACAGTTGCGCCGAAACCAGAACGTTTAATGTCTCGAAAATGCACACCACATGTGCAGTGAAAGGACATCCCATGCCTCGTTGTTCTCGAAGCGTCCGCACAGCAGACGTCTCAAAATTCTATCCGTGTAGTAACCCAATTATTATTATTGTTATTAAAAGGGGAAATAAAATATTTGTTATTATATAGATTCAATTGATACTATACATATATATGTGTGTATATATCGACACAATTATTATTATTGTTATTAAAAGGGGAAATAAAAAATTGTTATTATATAGATTCAAAATAGTAGTATATTCTACGAATAATGATTGTTACTATATTAAATTCAAAAAAAGGAAGAATGTGAATACCATTATTATTATCAAATGGAATGATTGTCAAATTAAATCAAGGACTAATAATTAATTGAGCTCTACGCCTGTGAGATTCACAATATTGCGAAATAATTCGCTGAATAAGAGAATAAAGAAAAAAAGGGGAAAAACTTACTTACTAAAATCAATTTCAAAATTATGGACATAGGTTAATTTCCACTCCTAATATTCCATAGAAATTTTTCCAAAATTATTATCGCAAAAATTGTAATATTAAATAAAAAATAAAAAGGCTGATTATTTCTACAATTTCAAAACAGAAAAAGGAATGTACGTTTTTCCAAAGAAATTCCAAAAAGGATTTTCCAATAAATATAGAAAAGGGAAAGAACTTAATTATTAAAACGGTCTCTTTTTTAAAAAAAAAAGATATATATTCTACAAAAATAAAAGGAGAAATAAGTTCAATGCCTTTAACAAATTGCAAGCTTGCATTTGTTCAATAAGTTGAACGACTTGTTGCGAAACTATAGACCCTTATTGCACAACAATTCCCCACCTGTGACAATTAACCAGTGTCCATAAAAACCAAATGAAACACATCAAAAATCGCAGTTTTCTAGTGTTTCAAACAGATTAACGTCGCGAGTCGCGAGTTATTATTTCACGAATTAAAAACTTGTGATCGCGAATATTTGCTTAAACGAGACTGTCCGTCTCGACTTACAATTTGATAAATATAACTAAAGTTTTGATTATTTTCTTTAAAACGGCAAGTAGTAAAGATAAAAATAATAATGGAATGAATTATTCACAAGCGTAGAGTTATTGTTTATTTTCTTGTATTAAAACCGCGAAAATTAATTAATTAGTTATTAAATTTTTCAATTGGTTCAGGACGTTAAAGACAATAAAAGAAGAGAATTTATTTAAAAAAAGAACACATATTATTATTATATTACGGTTGATCGGGAATCATTCCATATAATAATAATGGTGCAATAATTTTAATCTACTTCACCGAGGGTGAAAAACAACATTTTTATATTCGTCGCCCGCTTCTATCCAGAGATTGGGGCGGTAGAATTAAGAGCCTATAAGAGAAATAGGTAAGAATATATAATATTTGTATCGTTCCAACCAATGTATATTATTAATTCATTTTTCACTTCATTAAAAAGAATTGTTGTGTATCATTCTCATCCTTAAAATAAAGAAAACAGATGTAAAAGAATTGAACAAATTTAATTAATCGTATTTACACCATAACTCGGCTACCTAATTCTTTTGTAAATCGATCTTTTAAATTCGCGAGAGATATCTGAGAAAAGGGAATAACGTTCCACATTAAAAAAAACAAGTTTAACTTGGCTATTTGAACCGGAGAGATTTGAATTTTAGCAATAATGACACAAGTAAATTTTTTAAAATCAAAAATAAAATAAATCTAATTTTCAAAACGCAACAATTTATATAAATTTTAAAGTGTAATTATCTGGTAGTCTTGGAAAATGCTGATTGTTATAGCTATTTGTCTTTTTTTAGGGGCACTTGTCAAAATCAGTCAAAGTACAGCAGTTACTCTTTAAAAGGAGTAAAAATTCGCTTTTTTGAGGGTAGCAGCTCTCTTTGTGGCGAAATACGCTGCCCTCTTGCGTAAAAGACAACAACTCTCTCTACAAAGACAGCAGAGTTCCTTTATTTTTTTCAGTGTATCCTTAAGAAAGGTGCAATAATTATTGTGTAATACTCAAGGTACCTTTTTTAAAGCCACCGAATTATTAAAATTTATAACAATCAGTATTTTTCAAGACTACCAAATGATTACACTTATAAATTATATAAATTGGTCTTTTTAAAGGCCACAAACTGATTATATTGAATGAAACATTAAGAATTTTTAAAGTGTGATTTCAAATTCGTAATAAGCGACCCCAAAAACCTCCGAGTAACAAGTTAAAAACGATTTTGATGATTGTTTTAAATTTTAAGTCTACATATTGGATCCGCCAGTTTGGATTTTTTAAATCTGACTTCAGTGACCCCAAAAACCCTGGAGTAAAGGCGCAATCACACCTTTTTGGCTGCCTGCAGGTTACCATGGCAACGCATGAGAGCGAGTGCGACAGAAAATTTAAAAATTTGAATTTTCAAATTTTCTGTCTCACTCACACTTGTGCGTTGCCATGGTAACCTGCAGGCAGACATGCAGCCAAAAAGGTGTGAGTGCGCCATAACAATTTTCAAGCAAATCTAAATGATTTAAACGATTTTATATGATCCAATATATATTGGATTCGACATTTTGAAAATTGTAAATCTGACAATTGATGCTTCTTATTTGTAATCATTGATCACCTCTTTTAATTGCGTAAGAAATATTAATAAATAAATAAAATATTCTTTAAAGAACTAAACTTAAAATGTATATTTAAAAAAATATTTTTTAAAATAAAACAAATTTAAGTTCTTGTTCTGCTGGCTCAGGTAATGTTAATGGTCAATGCCCAACACCAATTGCCAAACTGCAACTTAACTGAACTAACGGAGCGAATGGGCAGGTGACTCCTTAATAACCAATTATTTTCAAAAATATATACCAAAAACTGATTAGCCTTTTGTAACTAAATAACCGGGTATAATAAAAGTCCGTTTTTTTTAAAACAATAAATTATTCCCGAGAAACCAGTTATTTACAAATAAACAGATACTTTCATTCAACCGGTTATTCTAAAATAACCAGAAAACTGTTAACTGTTTGTTCAAAAATTTCATAACTGATTAACCGGTTAAGAGAATAACCGGATCTATAACCGATTAACCAGTTAGTCGCACATGCCTAGTACATAATATATAGGGCCGCAATTTTGAAATTTTTGAAAAAGCCATTCTTGCATTCTGTTTAAATTTTATAATCCTTATCATGAAAATATTGTCAAGCAGATGTTTTTAAAAATTAAAGTTTTTCTGTTAATCCTTAAAAATACATCTTAGATCCTGACATAAAGATATATGAAAACAAATTTGTACATCGACCAGCAATAAACTTAATGTACTTCTTGACACCCGGATTAAGTTGTAAAACAGATATCAGAATGAGAAATCTTTCAAAACCTTTAAAAATTTATAAATTCTATGTCTTTCTTCGTTTAGTTAAATTCTATCTCTCTTCATCCCACCAGTTTTTCAAATAATTTACCCTTATAATATTTCAGAAAACCGTCCTTATAACCATTCTGCTGTTGATCGTTCTGACGACTAGAAGTATTTTTATTAAATGTTGAGTAATGATTTAATTTGGAGTTTTCATTTGTTTATCTTTCCAAGAAATTCACTCCTTATTAATTTAACGAGTGTGCGTAATGAAATATATGTAATAAAATTCATGGCACCAATTCGATATTTAACATTTATAATATCACAGATATTACAATATTTAATATTGTAATCAATAAAATATAAATGATATAATATACTTTTCAAAAAGGATACGGATTGCAAAACATTTTCTTGAGATCAACTTTCTCTTTACAGTAAGGACAAATTTGTTTTTTTCCCACAATGCACCAACCTCTGATGCAAAATTCATGAAATTCGTGCTCACAACTAAGTTTATATGTGTTCTCTATAACTCCCTCCTCGTGTTCGGAAATTAGAAGTTTGTTTCCACATACGGCACAAACATGCTTATCTAACGTTCTAGTTGGCATTTTCCCTGGTGTATAATACTATAAAACATAAAAAGTATTATAGATTTAAATAAATAATTAAATTAGAAATAACATTAATTTATGGATACAAATAGATTAATATAATTTCCAGTGTAAATTCAAAAAGACTAGAAATTTACTACTTGATTAAATTTCGTATTGTTACATATATCAACAATTAAGATTTGCTGGAGCAAGAGTTTACAAACGAACTTACCCCTACATGCGATGCCATTTTATCTGCACATATTTCAGCTACATCTCGACCCAGTACTCCAAAGTACAGTCCATAAAATAAGCACAGTAAAGCAAAATCCATCCAAACTTGTGGTTTCATGTTGAAAATGAAATTTAAACCAAAGAATGTTGCAAGCATTGCAAAATAGGCAACAATGCCGAAAGCATAACTAAGTTTATATATAAAATAAAACCATTTGTACACTAATCTGAAAAATAAAAAACAAGTTAATAAATTCAAGAAAGTTACAATAATTGGTAATACAAATATTAATAAAAATATAAAAAAAATATTCAACCTTGGAGTGTTCCTCTGTAAAGGATGCTGCAAAGCTTTCCTCATAATAAGGCCTGTTATACAGGAAAAGACTAGCCACACAAAAATAAATCTCCACCACAAATTTTGAATACATATTCCTAATGGAATGATCCACATTGCAACTAATGTAACAAACTAAAACATTAAAAAAATTTTATTAATTTAATTTGTTTCAAAAAAGTATATAAGTGTAGCTCATACATTTTTATATTTTCATACCTGATATGATCTACAGTGTCTTTTTTTCCATTCAACTAGTGCAATTTGGGCTACTATTAATGTTCCCAATAATATAAACAGCATCTCTGCATGCATTGCTTCGTGACCCCGATGCAATTCGTGCATCTTTAAATGTTCCAGTCTATAAAAAGTAAGCATTTATTACACATAAACTTGATATTTAGATACTTTTATGAAATTACATATTGTCTATGTTTATATCAGGACAGCAATATTAATTCTTACACTACACGGAAAGAAATGTGATAAATATTTGATAAATCTGATAGGAAATTTTAGTATTCTCTTTTTAAAACGCGGAACATTTAGGTTTGATAACGAAAATCGGTATATTTTTACCAATAGTCTTTTTAGTAAATATATTCCAGAAATTGAAATTATTATTTCGTAAATTGATAAATTTATACGAAAAACCAGAAGTAAGTTAAACCGACGCGCACTTCGTTATTTACTAAATTTATATGAAAATTTGGAAAGATTATTTCGAAATTTGTTAAAACTATACTAAAAATTCGAAGTGGTTCAGTCGTGACAGATGACGACAGAAACACCAATAGATTCTACGCCAAAGTTTTATCTCTTTCTCATCTCGAGGATAGACGAGGATATGATTTTTTAAATGCACACACACACATACACCGCATTGTTTTACATCGATTGGCTTATTTTTATTCCTAACCTATACTAACGATAATACGTATAACATTCGCAGAACAATGCTTCATATACAAATTTACGCTAATGTGAAAAACTGATGTGACCATTCTTATATACTAACCAGACATATTTTCCACCGCTTATGAGAAAGGTGAAATTATATCAAAACATGTTTAAAAATATAAATAAAAATCATTATTTATTGGGAAATAATTAAATATTTTATTATTTTTTAAAGAACAATTTTTTTTACTGATTTATTGTAAAATCTTCGAAATTAATTATTTAAAAGAAATTCAGGTCTGTATCAAGATAATGGTAAAAAGGGGCTTCGGCAAATTTCGTCGAATCTCGTTAACTTTGAAATTTCTTTTTCAATTTTCATATCAAATATATCAAAATCTGAAATAATTATATCATTTTATACAATTCTAATTACGAAATTTGAAATATTTGGTTAGAAAAATTGATAAAGAACTTATTAAAATTTGACATTTTTGTGTTTCAATAAAAAGATTTCAGATTTCGTAAATATTATATCAAATTTTCTTTCCAACTACATTAAATATTCTTATTTTAATCTCAATCATTCTTAAAAATAGTATCGAAAATCGTTATCATGACAAAATGTTCCGCAATTGTAACCAAATATACTAAAAAGTAACACCATAATATTAAATATTATAATTAGTTAGAATTAAATAATTTTAAGTTAGAAAAAAGATAGAGACTTAAAGCGAATATTCTGTGTTATATCATATAATTTAATGGTCAGAATCGAATCCCCACCTGCTGTGATAAAATTGAGGGAAATTTCGGAATTAATAAAATTTCGATCACTCATTGTGATCATGTTCGATCTATACTGCGCTGTTCTCAAAGGTTTTGGCTAGAATCGTCGAGGTATATAATCATTTTAGTTATATCAAAGAAAATTAGTGTTTTTGTGTGAAATTTTTTTTATTTTTTGTTGTGTGTTTTATTACAGTTCGGCGTTTATTTGTTTTATTGAAAGTGTCAGATGGATAAAAGAAGGATAATCAGTGCGAATTTGTTTATCTTTTTGTTTTTATTGATGGAATTTGAGTGTTTTTCGAATGGTCAAAAGGATCTATTGAATATATAGTCGCTCCATAGTCATAGAGATATTCAACATTTCTTCGGAAAGTTGACGTATTTCCACGATTTACTTGGATGAGTATTGATTTTTTTATGCCTGATCATTTTCATTATCTTATATGAAATAAGCCAGCCATTTATCTAAAAACATGATCTAATCTCTTTTGTTTTGTTTTTATTTCCTGTTATATTACTTAATGTTTAACTATTAATTGATTTTCATTGAAAACAGAGCAGTTCATTTATATATTAATATTTTTATGATAGTCATCTTCAATTCTTAATTAAATATATGTTATTCTCAAAAATTGATCACTATTTTGTATTATTTGAACTTTATAATTCTGTGGCGGTTTAATTGATTAAAATTAAGAAAAGAAATCCTAGTATTAACAAATAAATATATTTAATAATTAAATTACAATTATTTATTAATTGTGTTGTGCTGAGCATTATATAAAAAAACTATTTTTTTATTCACAGAAATTGATCGACATTGGAGATACAACGCTGTATATTTTTAACTACGGTAAGTTTGTCTAATTGTGTTTTTTTTCTTTGATATGAGTCGCACTTCTCTATTGAAAATTCCTACAAACTTTCCCACGTGTGATCCTTTAAAACCAATCTATAAAGAATCCTCATAAGATCCTTCGTAAGATTTTACGTGAGATGCGTTTAAGGAAACTCCCAGACAACATGCGACATTACTGTACGAATTTGATTTAGTCAACGTTATAGGAAACTATATAGTTTTCTATGTAGGAAACCGTAAGGGAACGTAACTTTGTATTTTCCCTTACGGTTCCCTACATAGAGAACTATACAGTTTCCTGTAACATTGCCTGATCCAAATTCGTACAGTAATGTCGTATACTGTCTGGGAGCTTCCTTAAACGCATCCCACGTAAAATCTTACGAAGGATCTAATAGGATTCCTAATAGATTCGTTTTAAAGGATCACACGCGGGAAACTTTGTAGGAATTTTCAATAGAGTTCTAGTAATAATAAAAATATATTTCTCAACACTAACGAAATTGAAAACAATTTTAATTATTATCATTTAAGGGGTCTATTAAATTTTTGATAGGTTTAAATTATAAATATTGATATACATTGTGACGAAGTAATTCGTCACAAGGCAATTTTTGACTGGGGTTGGGTTTCGCGCGTTTGGGGATTTGTAGCAGAGACAACGCAGGAGTCCAGGAGGTGGCGCCATCGCGGCGGCCACTCATGGAACGAGTCGGAGACGAAGGCGATCGAAGTAAAAATCAATGTAAGATAGACTCGAGAGCGTGTAGGAGTCTGATAGCGTGTGTCGAGTAGATTTTGAGAGTTGTGTTTTTGAGAAAAGTGTCGTGTGACAGAGTGTGTAGATAAAATCAAAGGAAATAGTAGAAAAGTGAGTGTGGGTGATTTCTTTTATTTGGGGCAGATCCCAAAGAGATTCCTGTCCTTTTCGAGTCATCGACAACAGCGGGGTTTTGGTCGACTTGTTGCGATTCGAAGGAGCTGGAGAGGACAGCCAGAGTGTCTTTTTGTGAATTTGTCGACGTGGGTAAGTCCAATTTTGGTTGTGTCGTGTCTCAAGGGTCGTGTCCCTTTTTGCGACTTTCGTTTTCAACAGAATCTCCTCTGAGATTTCATTTGATTTATTTGAGTTTTGGGGTTCTTTCGTGATTTTTCTGGTTTGCCAATTCCATCTAAAAATTGGCTGGCGTCTAACAATAATCACGTTGGGTTTTCTTTTGTAACAATTAAGAGGGGTTATTAATTAATAACATTAATTAATTAAATAATTTCGTTATAAAAATTGGCGCCCAACGTGGGGCCTCGTTGAGAAACTTTGAGACACGACAAAATTTTTGTGACTTGATTTTTGTGACTTTCTCGACCTGATATTTTCGACAGAAAATATTTTGTTGCTGATTGTAATTTTTCATGTAATGAATTTTATTGTTTCTGCCCTGAAATTTATAATTTGCGACATGGTTGAGGAGTTGTGTTCGGGCAAATAAAGTGAGACAATTTCGCGAGTGTTCCCAGGTAAATTTAATATGCATAGCGTCCGCCATAGTCACGTGTAGAAATTTTCAAGAATTAATTTCAGAGACATTTCTCGACCGATTTTGACGAATCGATTTTTCTCGGAATCAGTGAATTTTTCTGGATTTTTGTGCGTGATTAAATTTTGAAAAAAAATTATTTATTAATAATAATTGCTTCCCACGTGGCCGGCGTATTAATTATACCATGTGATTCGTCGCGCATGCGTATTACGTGATATCTCGGTGTTTGAATTTGAGCCATGCTTCTCGACTTGGAAGAAGATAGAAATTTCAAACACTTGTGACTTGCGCAGTAGGGAATCTTGCGACTTGTAAAATTTTCAATGAGTGGAGAAATTGAAAATTTTAAATGAAACGTGTAGAATAAATTTGAGTGTCGATTAGTGTGACTTTTAAAAAAGAGAATTGTTAAATAAACAAAAATTAATCCAGGACCGTATTATTATCGCGACGGTCATCTTAAAAAAATTTTCTTTAATTATAATTGGAAATTTTAGTGGGTAAAATTTCCTTAACGACAAGTCAAGTAATTGTTGAATTTTCTTTTTGTTTACCAGGGCCGTGTCAACGGACGACGGGCCCTATCAAAAATTAATTGACATTTTACGTGAGAATTTTTAATGGGAAAAATTCTCTTAATGACGACCCGGTTATAAAATTAAATTTTTACGAGTGACCAGTGCCGTGACTAATAGTTAGCGGGCCCCAAAAATTATAAATTTTATTTAATTTAATTTTTGCGACAGGTTAATTTTTGCGACAATTTATTTTTGTGAAAAGTCAAGTTGTGTTAACTTGAATTTAATTGTCAGGGCCGTACCTATAAAATTGGCACCCCTATTTCTAGAATTCCAAAATAACTGAAAAATTTTAGGGAGTAAAATTTTCCTTTGCGACTAGTCAAGCAAGTGTATAAAAATTATTGACCAGGGCCGTGTCAACGGATCGACGGGCCCTTCAAAAAATTAATTTACAATTTTGCGTGAAAATTTTTAAGGGAGAAAAATTTTCTTTGTGGCGACTCGATTATTTAACGGAATTTCTTTTTATTGACCAGTGCCGTATCTAGTAGGGAACGGGCCCCCTTAAAAAAAAAAAAAAAAAAATTTTTTTTTGGGGTTTTTCGACAATTAAATTTTTCAAGCGTTCAAGATGGCAGAGGCAATTGAACGAATGCATTTCTACAAAGAAAGGATGCGTCTCTTGTTAACAATTCCACAGGCGAAGGAATTGTGGCAAGTGATTTTGGGAATGCCGGTAGGACAAGTGGTA